AAATATTTGTTGGTCATTGTAGATTACGCAACACGATTTATAATAATAACACCCTTGAAAGAAAGCAAAAGTGAGAACATAGCACAAGTGTTTATTCAAAAGATTGTGTGCCGCTATGGCTGTGTGAGGCGGATATTGACCGATAGGGGGAGACAGTTTATCTCCAATGCTATGGAAGAAGTCTTCCGGTTCTTTGCGACTGATCACTCTCTGGCCGCCGCGTACAAGCCCAGCACCTGTGGACTTGTAGAACGCGTCAATAGGACGCTCGAGGATATGATTTCAATGTACTGTAACACAAACCAAAGAAACTGGTCAACCGTGCTTCCATTTATCGAGTTCGCGTTCAATTCTTCAGTCAATCACTCAACTAAGTTTTCGCCTTTTTACGCGCTGCACGGATTCGAACCCACACTACCGACGGACGTCGCGCTCAAACTTCCGTTTGACGATCAAGTCCAGTATACGACTGATAAACTCCAAGACGCCCGCTATTTACTCCGAGAGTTCCTTAGGGAAGCCCAAGATACGCAGAAAGTAAACTTTGATAAAAGACATCGTGACGTAAGGTTCGAAGTGGGAGATGCGGTCGGAGTTTATAAAAGGGTCCGGAAAGTTGGAGTTAATGAGAAAATGTTATTCAAATTTTCAGGGCCTTTTCGTGTCACTAAAGTATACACAATGCCTTATAATACGTACGAAGTCGAGGAATATTATAACCCCAAAACACTTGAAAACTACCCCGTAATAAGACTAAAGAAATGGTTTATAAGACAAGATACTATCTCAAATGAAGAAGAATACCGCCCAAATGGTGATATTTCTAATGAAACTCAAGAAAACAATGATGAAATTTTAATTCCAAATGATGAAACCGGTACGACTCCTACCGGCGATACAGTAGTGACGACCACAGAAAATGTATTTAGTAAAAATGTATTACCCAATAGGCGTGTGATAACAGGTGTCACTACAGAGAGACCTTTGACTGCCCTCGGGCATGCCAAGATGGGGGCAGTTAAAGAAGACAACGCTGGGTCGCGGTCGCCGCCTACCCAGGATGATCCAGCGGGTGTACTACCTCTAGATAACCCATTTAATGGTAATACGATTAATGGTGAAATGGGGAGTCCTGCGTTATCTAGAGACGAGGCCTAATTATCCACAATAAAAGACAAATGAAGTCGATATTGGTGGAACTTAACAGCGCGCAATATTTTGAATTAGTTTATTTCTATGAAATACAAATAATTATTGGTCGACCCGATTACGAATCACTGCTTTGGTTATGGATTATCGAATTATTGACGTCTTTGTAACCGTGTATATCCGACTCTTGATGACTTTATTGAACGAGCTCTTCAGTAAAGCCCTCCGGATTTAGATATAAGATTTATCTATTGCTCAGCGATAAGTGTAGCTTAATGCAAGTTTACTATTTAATTTTAATTCGTACTTATTTAATTTGCCTGAGTATTTATATATGATAAATGAATTTGTTTTAAAGAATGAGGAATTAGGTAAAAGTAATATAAATGTATTTAAAAATAATAATTGTTATTATCAATACAGTAATGTATTTATCTATTAATCTATTTACTATACGAAGTTAAAGCATGAAGTTTATTACGAAAATGAATTATTACTGTGTGAATGCATCTTAATTGAATGAATTATTTAAGTAACTCAATGTATTGTATTAATTATGAATCTTATGAATTTTGATGTATTTAATGAAATGTCACTTTATCAGCCCGGGAGTGCTGACCGGAGCGTGGTCGAATGCAACTGAGTGTTGCTGTGTTGTGACGTATTCTCGCATTCCATACCATATATGGTGATGAGAATGGAGAGACGTCACAACACAGAGAGGAGAGATGCGGCGCTCAACCCATCTCTCCTCAGATCGCGGTTGGCACTCACTGGCACTGGCTGTACGCTTTCGTTGGTTTTAATAAATCCTGTTGTTTTAAATCCCGGTGACTATTCATTGAATATAAGGTATGTGGGTTGAGTGCGAGGTGTGTGTGAGTGGGTGTGTGTTGGCGATCTCGCGGAGTGGACGACCCCACGGGAGGGCCCGCTGGGGGCTCCGTTACAGCAAGGGTGGGATTACTACCTTAAGCCCTCCAAAACCCCTTCCCCCCCTAGTAAGATCGGCTGAAGACGCACTGGGTGGCTGACGTCTGCGGCGACCAGGAGTACCCAAACTCCCGAGACCGGACGATAAAGTACCGGCCCATGTCTGATGCGCCTCCCTGTCGATGCCGATCTTCCCTTTTCTTTACCCCCTCCCCTCCCCATTCTAACCATGGTGACCTAATTGTGTGCGAGTCCGGTAATGTCGTTCATTCATTGTTTTTGTCATCATTTATTTTGTTGGTCGTTTGATTGCCATTCATTTCTTACTACTTGTAATATGATGTGCTGGACGTGGAGTTGGCGTAATAGGCGTGCGATGACGGCAAAGCGGCCGCATTGTATGAATGACTCACTGATTGCGGTAATACGGAGGTGACGGCCGCCACTGGCGTCAGCGCTCCATACTCAGCACCTCTTGCCGCAACTGTTGGTCTCGTTTTCTCTTCTCAGCCAACAGCTTAGTCAACAGTTGGGCCAACTCTCACCGTTTGCCAATAATGTCGGCAATAATTGTGTCCATACGCTCGTCCCGGCGCTGCATCACAGCGCTCGTCAATTGTGTTAACTCCCACTCTATGAGCCCTATCTATCCCGTCAGTTGTCGGCTCCGTTAATCTCGCGTTCGCTGTAAGGCCTCGAGTGCCTGTCGTTGTAAGCGTTCCTATCATACAAAACCCAATATTAAGTTTTGCGTAGAAATGGGATGTCATATACCTGTTGATTGATTTTGACGCGTATCACCAATTGATTAAACTCTTTGAAATCATCGGTGAGAGCCCTTTGAGGTGACTCACGCGCCAACATCTCGTGCATCGCAATGAGTATCGCATTCTTCCGGAGCACCACTTCTTTGTCGTACCGAAGCATACGCTTTAAAAGCTGACGTTCAGCCGACTCGAGCGCACCCACTTGGTTTCGGTGCCTCTCATCCCAGTTATAGATACTGTCCAAAAGTTGCGCCGAATGTCTGTCCACTGGAAATGCAAAAATATGATTAAATTTGTGTTCACACAGTCTTCCGAACCGATGCCGTAAACCGTGCCATACATTGAGATATACTGTCGAGTAATGTCTGTCTCTCCCTATCCTTCTGGTGCTGACGGCTGTTGATATCGGCCGACATCTGGCGCTCGGAGTCCCATATCTGAGCCAACAATTGCCGTTTCTTGTGGTCACCGGCGGTGCTGTTGGCCTCGCTATTAGCCAATGACTGGATCTGTAGCTCCCATTCAATTAGTGCTCTTTTTATTTGGTCCTAGAATTTTTGGTCAAACAAAAAAACAGTTTAAATAGATTTTTAATAAACAATTCTGTTATTAAGTATTGGTACATAGTAGTCTGGTTGCAAAAACATGTGTCAATACTATTCATTATTAATTTGATGACAATATCACTCATTACATACCTTCAGATTGTGGTAATTCTGGTATTCAATGGTCTCCTATTGCCGGTGCGATGGGATGTGTGAATGTGTTTGGATGCGAGTGAGGGGCCAGTCGTGTGTGCAATCAATTTACATAATAATAGGGTCAAATAATTAGACATTTTAATTGTAAAATTAGTAAAATAAACATAATTTAAAAATAAATTTTATAAAATTGATAATAAGTATCAATAATTACCGTATACAGTATATGATAATTGCATTTTCATTATTTGTAAATACATGACAATTATTATACAGAATATTCCTTTCGTCATTAGGCCGTTATTATTCACCTTCAATGCTATTCTCTTATTTCAGTCAAATATAAAATGAGATTTTTATCACCATTTCATTATATTTTTAGAATTATATGTGTATTAAAACAGTTTATAAAACATGTTTATATAAATGTGATTCATACAGCGATTAATGTGTTCAAAAATTAAACAAATGTATAAATGGAACTTTTATGCTATGTTTATTAATAAAGCCATGGCAGAGCTGAAGCTTTTCATAGATTACATATGCCTGGAAAGTCAAGTGTACATTAAAAAGTATTTTGCCAGAATTTGCTCTTAACAAATAAATTAAATGCTATTTTAAACAATTTACTGCATCGAAAAACCAGATGCTAATTCTCCCTCAGTTAATGCTAATTATAGACACATTCTGTATGTGTTATACAGTTATATTACAGAGCGATATATATTTCTATGTTGTCCTTAAATACAATTTATTTAAATTGTTGTAATTTTATTAGTTTTTATTTAAACAACATGTTATTATAAAACCACGAAATATTTCAGTATAAATGCCTTAAAAAAAAGACAAGAATAATAAATTAAATAAAATATTAATGAAAACATTTGAGCATTTATATGTGTGTTATGTATAATAGCTATCTGTCAGTCAGTCAACTATTTAAATAACAATACTATTGCCTATAATTATGGTTACAATTTGATTTCATTTAGCAAAACAACTAAACTGCCAAACTTTTATTGATAATAATTGCATCAAATTGTAAACCAATTAAACGCATAATAATAAGAAAAATAGCAATTTGTTATTCATTACTTCCTATAAGTGATTAATATTGAGGGTTATTAACCATCGGTTTGCATGAAAAATGAGATAATAAAATATAGATTATATTCACCACTGAATATATACAGTACAGTAAAGTACAAGCCGTTAGATAAACACACTTTACCATAAAATATCACTCAAATTGCAAACTCTTATCCTATCCCATAATTGAATGCTCGCTATTATTGCTCCCACTCTATAACCCATACAGTAATGTAAAGTTTATACTGAATGAAGCCTTTAAACAGTTATACAGACACACACTTCAGATAGAAAAATAAGAAATATATAATAAATTGCTTGTATTACACCATATATCGCAAGTATATTTAACATTAAAACTAGTGATAATCAGAGATTTTTTGCATTCAATCCGTGAAATACTTGTTGTCATAAAGTCTGCGAATAATTTTCTTACTCTCAAGTGATTCAACGCTTCCTTTCGATAAACAGTGAGAATATTGTGCTATAAAGTGAATGTTAGGACTCTTTTGTGCTCTCAATGATTACATATATTTATATAAAAATTAATTAATTGTTATTATTATTATTGAAATATATTACAAACGGGAAGAGAGAAAGAGAGTGCGAGGACTGGGAGTTTGGAAAAAAGGAAGCCATACTTATTATATATTATTGTATTAATAATTATATTGTAATAATTGTATTATTATTAGTCTATGAAACAAATTTCGGACACAAATAAATGTTTGCGTTAAATGTAACGTCAGTCTTACATAAGTGTTTCATTTGAATATCAGTGAAAGTGTAATGGGATTTGAAAGCCCGTCATTATTACAAGTGATACAGTATTTGTCTGTGAAATAAGTTTCTTCATTCATATCGTGTTGTTGAACTCATTTTACACATACAGTGAATAATAGACATTTCAAACACTTCCCAATCACTGGTATCTTTCATAAGAGATGTGAATATCAATTTCTCAACTAATTATCGCATCATTTATATCATGTTTTAATGTTTGTCACAATTTGGTTGTGAATACAGATAATTGTCGTGTTGTATGTGTTTATATACAAGAAACAAATCAACTTAAAATAATGCCCACAAAACAAAAACATGGATTCAAATGTATTGATAATTGAAACAAAACTTTCAATTCAAATGTGAGGTGAAAAGTCATACCTTTTTCATTGAATGTTTATGGCATTTATTTATAGCATACTACAATTATTATGTGTTTTGTATGTCTTTTCCTAAATATCTATTTTAAAATAGTGATTATAGTTTTTGTGCATAATTTTTATATATAACTTATATTACTTTTTGGTGTCATTGTTCACGTCTTCCGTAAAGAAATACTGACCAAATGCTGTGACAAAAATATAACACACTTTTGAGACCATAAACTCATTGTATACTTAAAACCCCTTTCTTTTGCGGGACAATTGTATTATGACTTTAATTTGATTTGTGTTTTGTATTCCAAACACGGCATCAATTGAAATGAACGGCATTCACACCACCCTCTCAGACATGTATTTCATTTGATTGTATCCATTATTGAATGGATGTGTGATTTAGTGGACACTAATTGTCAAACCATTGAATATAGTATTTGATGAGTGAATGTATTGTCAGTTTATATGGCAATTGAGTTGCAAATTGTTTGACCACAATATCAGTGATAATCGCTGTAATTGTTTGCACTTTAAGCCAATTGTACGCAAAAAAATCGTTCAATGAGTTCCGGCCATCAGTTAGTTGTAAACCGAGTGTCAAATCCCATAATTGTGTTAATCTTGACAATTGTCCGCACATTTCGGTCAAACACTTATGGATTTCATGTTTTTCAATGCTTATGTAACGACTTTTGAGACACTGCTTGTGTGCCATGAATGCAGATAACAGTTCCTTATTAACACTCGAGTAATCAAATGTAAATTTGTGTAAATTTTGGCTCTTGTGTCGAAAACAACAAGTGGACATATAATTGTGACAATAGGTGGCAATGAATGCTCAGGCAAACCCTGAGGTGATGTTTGTGTTGGGCAGTAATGCGTTGAATGAGAACAATGGTCTCAACCAACAGGTCGATGGCCTCAAAGCCGACAGCGAACAGCTCAGACGCAAACTGTCCGCTAAGAACTCGGAGTGCGATAAACTCAAGCAACAGATCACAGACATTAAGTTTGAATGCGACGGCTATAAACAAATGCTGATATTGTCGCGTGACGGGCAGACGGGTCAACCCATCCAGACCATACAGTTCATACCCGGACAACAGTTTATGTTACAACAGCCATATGACGGGCAATTAATAAAAACAGCCGATGGGCAGCCCATTGTGTGTCAAGTTATGATTGGCGATGTGTCTGATGGTGTTGAAAAAGTTTGTTTTTGTTTCATTATTCAATGCTTTCGCAATTTGTATGAGAGTGAATGAATGTTAAAATACTTGTAATGGGGGCAAAAATCAGTAATGTTTGTCGACCTTGATCATTGTCCGGTTTACATTGTTTTTGATAAAAATAATGTTTTTATTCATCCATTTTGCTATATTGACGTCAATATTGATAATTTTTATAAGAAAATGTCGAAACGCGAAATTTAATTGACATTCTGTTCGGCCGACAGTGTGTCGCGCGTAATGGTTCTGAATTGTTCTTTCTTATGATAATTTGATTTATTGGACGTACTGTATGAATGTTTATGGTTACCGTGGTTACCTTTTAATCCCTCTCCCAATTATTCCCATAAATCCCATTATAAATGTTAAATAAATTAGACAACATTTTAATAAAATTATTATAAATAAATTATATTGATTACTAACAAATACAAATAAGTTTAAACTAAAAATTGATTAACAAATACACAATTATAAATCAAAACTAATAAATAATTTTGTCTCATAATTTCCTTATCCCATTTATAACCAGTGACAATTTAGTGACAATTGACTTCGAGATAATAATAACTAAATAACAAATGTATAACAACAGTTGTGATCAAACGCTTGAAAAGATTGTAAATCGATTGTATGAATACCGTTGGGACTATAAAGGACCTGGGGTGTATCTAAAGAATCTGTCGACGCGCGGATAAAATATTTGATAAAAATCTATAATGACCACTACCAAGCTCATCACCAAGGCTTGAATGGACCCCCAGTAGTCCACATGGCGCAAAATCCGGCCTTAAGTACGATACCCAACAGGGTCCTAAAGCCAACGACGGCTAAGTCACCGCCGCGCGGAGATGTTGACTATCGGTCTACCAAGTCTATGCCTGAAATTATGATGACATCGCCCTCACGTTCGACTCAACCGTCAGTCATAACCAAACCACAGTTAAATACTGCACAACAGTTAGCTAAGGCGGACAACCAAGTCATGTCAAATGAGCCACAGACCTCTACAATGGCGACTCGCCCTAGTGTAAAGAGCACGGTAATCAAAGTCGCTGCTACCGAACAACGTGTGTTCACAGCCATTTGTTACCACGAATTTACGGCTAACATCAGAATTGATCCCGAGATCTTACCGGAAAACGAGTTCACGTTATCACTACACAAAAATAAGGACGATATTCCCGAGGAGAAGAAATGTGAAATCAGAGTGACCGCAATTGGCCCTAAAGTTTGTATATGGTTCAAAAAACCTTCTAAACAGCATAGTGGTGAATATATGCTTAAAGTCAATGATCAAGTGACTGCTGAACTTGTCAACTTTAATTTTGTAAGAGTCCCCTCATCGCCTGAAAACATGACTTTCAAACAATTAACACCTGAAACATGTCAAATAACTTGGCTCTGTAAATGGGGTCCTATTCGCAACTATATCGTTGAGACTGGCAACGATCATAAAACATTTGAACTCTACAAAAGAATTGACACAACTAGTACTGGTACACTAAGTTGTCGTATTGATGGTCTGAACCCATTTCAAACTAAATGGTTTCGCGTAAAAGCTGTTAACGAGTTTGGCGAATGTTATCGTCCCTTGGTGAATAAGTTTTTGCCAGCGCTTGAAAATTATTGCCCATCAGAGCCAACAGATGTTGAAGTTAAGAAACGGACCAATACTTCGGTTCACCTCGCTTGGAAACGCCCACTAATAACTCACGAGTGGGGCATAACAAAATATGTTGTGCAGTCATTGCTGTACCTTGGCGAAGAGACTGATTGGAAAGACGAACACAAAACTAACTCCGGTCGAGTCACCGAAGCCGTTCTCACAGGCCTAAAAACAAATGGTTTATACCGATTCAGAGTCATCGCATATAACAAATATGGTAAAAGCGTGCCCTCGACAGCAACTGATCGTGTGACAATTAAAGAAATAACGTACAAGCCTAAGATAATTAAAAATCTTAAGGATTTGGTAACAAAACCCGGAGATCACGTTGAGTTTGTGATCAAATTCGATGCCAATCCCGTAGCAAAAGTAAGCTGGTCTGCAGACAACTTGTTAATTATACCTGAAACTAACCACGCGTATAAGATCAAACTATCGGAAACTGAGTCTACACTTAAGTTTGTAGCAAAAGACAGCGGATCCTACAAAGTATTTGTTGAAAATTCTAAGGGAAAAGTCATGTCGTGTGGCAATCTTAAAGTCACAGAGTCACTTACTGCAGATGATGACAACACTGTCGAGATCGAGACTGAAGAAGTACCGGAAATCTCGAGCCCTGGTATGCCAGTGATTACATCGTTCACCGCTTCTACCGTTAATCTGGAATGGACTAGAGCGAGTATTAAAACAACAAAACAATATAACATCGAAATGAGTTCGGACGCGAAGAAAACATGGCGTCAAGTTGTAACCGTCCCCGGAAGTGAGTCAAAGGCAACAATCGGAGGCCTTACAAAGACGGACACTGTAATGTTTAGAGTCATAGCGATTGATAACAGTGGCGAGTTCAACACAAGTCCGATAAGTGTACCACATCTCGTTCGGCCATTTGCTAATAAACCAAGAATAGAATTTGATAAAAATCAAAAATTTGTGACTCATTTTGATTTCATCAAAAACATGTATGTTTACGGCGAGCCCTCGTCAACAATTGAATGGACATTTAATGGCAGTCCTGTGGAAACGTCAGTGGAGCGAATAATTATGATTCAGCCGTATTACACTAAGATCCTGATCCCCATGGTACAATCCAACCACGTTGGCAAATATACAGTGCGCGCGGTCAATCATCATGGAGAACATGATGTGGCTTTTGAGTTGGAAATGTGTCCTAAACCTACCTTACCCTCACCCCCTCTTGGCCCTGTTTCTATTTCACAGAATACAGATGATACCGTTATATTGTCATGGGCCGCGCCTACGGACTTTGGTGGCGTTGAGCTGATTGGCTATAAGATCACGTGCAGAGATACTAGCGTGTATGGCAACAACACGGAAGAAACCATTTGTCCTGATATGACTTCCACAACGTTGAAACACATATTTATAGTTGGCCATGACTACGTGTTCTTGATTGAGGCTTTAAACAAAGTTGGACCCAGTTTGCCTTTAAAGTCTAGAGAGTTGTTTACATACAAAAGAGACGATCCGATAGCCAGTGTGAAGAGAGGTGCCGAACTGGAGCAGACAACAGCCAAAAAGCCAAAGAATTAAACTCAATTAATTTGATGTCTTTAATTATCAAATATTATTTGTAACTTTGTCGTAATGTGAAGTTATTATTAGTCTCGTTATTTATCAATTTAATTACTTGATTTAAAAAGAAAATTAATTAAAACAATCATGTAATGATAAAATTGGAACTAAATGTTAAAATATTCGAATAAAACTATTTGAAGTCAAATCATTTGCCACTTTAATTTGTCACGACATAAACTAAGTTAACCTTTGAATAACAAATACATATTCAGAATTATAAATTTATTGTTAAAAATTTTACTAACAAATATCCGATTATTTCAATTATTTTAACTAAACCATTCCTATATTGTGATACTTAAGTATTAATCATTGTTTTCTATATTACAGAATTATTGTCAGACTTTAAGAATATTTCGTCATATTAGAGAGTAGAATCTCTCATTGATAATTTGAGGTTA